TCTGAGGATCACGGCTTAAAGCCAGCCTGGGCAGGAAAGTCTGTGAGACTCTTATCTCCAATAAACCACTAGAAAACTGGAAGTGGCGCTGTGGCTCAGGAGGTAGCATGCTTGCCTTGAGCTGAAGAGCTGAGGGACAGCGCCCAGGCCCAGAGTTCAAGCCCATGACAGACAATAATAATAATAATAATAAATTCACAGGGCTAAGAAGGTAACAATGCTTGATAGGAAATGGACTCACTACCTTGCTCATGTAAATATAACCCTTCTATACAGTATTTTCACAATAACAAATGTATTTAAAAAAAAATAATTTCACAGGGCTGGGAATGTGTAGTGATGGTAGGGTGCCTGCCTAGCATGCATTGGGTTCGATTCCTCAGCACCACATACACAGAAAAAGCCAGAAGTGCCACTGTGGCTCAATTGGTAGCATTACATCCTTGAGCAAAAGAAGCTCAGGGATGGTGCTCAGAGTTTGATCAATAGGTCTGGCAAAAAATAAATAATGGAATAAAATATCTTGAACATTCTCCTAACTATACACATAACATGAGAACTAATGATCTAATTCTAACATCTCAATTTTTTAAAATGGTTATTAGTATTTTTTAAAATACATTTTTATTGTAAAAATACTGTACAGAGGGGTTACAGTTACATGAGCAAGGTCATGAGTGCATTTCCTGCAAAGCATTGTTACCCTCCTTGGTTTTTCCCCTACCCTCCCTTTTCTCCCACTTCCACAACTACACTCCCCACCGCCCCCCATGTTCATTTTTCAACAAAGTGTCTTGTGCATCTCACTGTTACAGTGGGTCAACCTGGATCCTGTATTCAGCATTTTGTTTTTTCCCTCCCCCTCCTCCTAACATCTCAAATTTTTAATTGAAAGTAGTAAGAGGTTTTCAGTACCTAGATGACAATAAAAAAGGAAAAGTTATTTCATATGAGAGAAAGTAACCCTGGATAGATTAACTTGATTTCTTTTTTCTTTTCTTTTTTTTTTTGTCATTTAAAGGGCTTGAACTCAGGGCCTGGGTTCTGTCTCTGAGCTTTTTCATTCAAGGCTAGCATTCTACCACTTTGGCTACAGCACCACTTCTGGTATGCTGGTGGTTAACTGGAGATAAGGACTTTCCTGCCTGGGCTGGCTTTGAACAGTGATCTCATCCTCGAGAGTAGCTAGGATTACAGGATTGAGCCACTGGCCCCCATGTGCTTTCTATTTGTATATTAAAGTATATCAGACATTTAAAGGCTCTTGAAATGATAAATGATTTCACAAAGGATATTAACGTGCATATAACCTTATAACTTCCTCGAATATTTTTTATGTGTGTGCTGGTCCTGAGACTTGAACTCAGGGCCTGGGTACTGTCCTGAGCTTTTTTGCTCAAGACTAGTGTTGAATCACAGATCCACTTCTGTTTTTTTGCTGATTAACTGGAGATGAGAGTCTTAAGGATTTTCCAGCTGAAGCTGGCTATGAACTATGATCCTCAGATCTCAGCTAGTATTAGAGATGTGAGCCACTGGAGTTTTGGCTTCCTTTAATACTTTTTTTTTTTTT